TTGTGTCCTGGCTGATTCCATCAGAATCAGGGGAATGTTGTCTGATTTTAAGAATATGAGTGGATTAGGAGAACATTCATGGTTTGGCCAGCCTTGGAGTGCACATATTTAGAGGCCATTAATAAGTGGTGCCCTGTCCTAGATCTGTCCCCTGCCCAGGCCACGCCAGAACAGAGCAGGATTTGAAACTCATTTATCCCATCCCACATTTCAGCTCAAACCCAGACAATTATTAGCCAAACTGAAACCCTCTGGAGGTGTGATCTGTGAGTCCTGCACAATTCTCCTTGATTTTCCATGGCTGATTCCTGGCATACAGCAGGATTTTGACATTGGGACAGGCTGCAGGGACATAAACCTGATTTTTGCCATTAGCCTTTTATGTTGGGAGGGGAGTGGGTTCTTACCTGAAATTAAAGAGATTTCAGCCTGACTGTAAAATTAATAGAGCTATCAACCCCCCCTCTGCCATTATACAACAAATGTTAATTATTTACAAGCAAACTTCTGCAAGAACAGTATTGTAGCTGTCGGCATTGTCGTTATTAAAATTAAAACACTTTGTCTGGGTTGAAGATAACATGAGTCATTTTGGTGAAATGTAATTAATATGGAATATTCTGTTGCTTTTCCCCAATTAGTCAGAGGGAGAACAATAGCCTGTCTCTTCCCTAACAAGATGTTTGTTTTTAAAAGTCTAACAAAATAAATATTTTCAGGGCTTTGCTGAAAAAGGGCGTCATTCATTGTAGCTGTTATGATAAAAGTTAAAACAAATTTATTTTTTTCTAAGATGGGGGAAAAACCTACATAAAGTAAATTTTCTTTTTTCAGCTGAGGAAAGATGTGTGTGAACCTTTTTGCTTTATTACCACAATATCTTGGTTTGTCTTATTATTACAGCAAAGACTTTAAAGCTCATCTTGTTCCACCCCTGCCATGAGCACCTTCCACCATCCCAGATTGCTCCCAGTCCAGCCTTGGACACTTCCAGGGATGGGGAATCCACAATCTCTGGGTGATTTTTGGTTGCTATTAGAAGTTAAAATGGGGTTCGTGGTGAGCAAAGGAAGCTCTGAATTCCTGCTGTACAATGGATAAAGTCGTTATGAGATGCAGAAATAAAATCCAACCCCCTGTCTGTGCTCTCCTAGTCAGACCACCCTGTCCTGTGAAATTTATTATATTAAAATCTCTTGTTTAGAAAATGAATTTCAGAGTGAGAATATTTCTGTCCTGCCATCATCTCACAAGCTTTTTAACAGTCTCATAGAAATGGGAGAGAAGCCTGCAGTGTTCCTGTCATTCCTGAGCTAAAAGGAAGATGTAGGAAACACACAATTGGATTTCCCTTAAAGAACAACAACTTTAACATCGTTAAAAGAATGTGTTCACCCCCCATTAATTTTGTATTTGATTGCCCAGGCTGTGGTGCAATGAACAGTAGCAAAAAAAGCCATTAGGAGGAACTGCCATCAAAACTGAGGACCTGTGTGACTGAATGTGGATTCTAGGGAGCAGATTTTTTTAAAAACTGTAATTTATAAACTCCTTCAGTATTACAAACACCCTAACGAGAGTTGTACAAACGTTTCTCCTCATTATCTTTGGGCAAACAGACTTTCCTTTCTCCCAGCAGCTGCCCAAGGGTGCTTGACCTTACACTTGGCTGTTCCCAGTTGGTTCCTTTGATATTTCTTTGGCTGTTATTAGAAAAATGTCCTTGCTGGGGCACTCCCAGTGGGGGCTTGCTCCTGTGCTCTCCCAGGAGAGGAGGACACAGCCAGGCTCAGATCCATGGGGTCGGTTTTAGTTAAGCTTGACTTGGTGGGAATCTGGAGTTGATTTGTCAGAGGGAAGTTAAGGGGAAAAGTAAGGACACGCTCTCTGGGGAAGGCTCAGGTGTGTGTGGAATGCCTCTGGAATGCCTTGGAGATCATTCCTGTGACAGCTGCCAAGCTCTGGAGGTGCTCAGGTAGGTCCTGGGCACGGGTCCCACCTGGGCAGGTCCCTTTGGAAGGGCTGGCTGGGCTTCAGGAGCTGCTGGGATGCCACCGGTGGCAGCTGAAAGGCTGCATCTCCTCAGTGCCCTGCTCTCCCCTGACTTTTCCTTTGGCTGGAGTTCCTCCAGAGGCACTGACAGGCTCCAGCCTTCGAGAAGAGGCCCCATAAGTAATATTAACTTCTGCAATTTCCTTGTTACTCTTAAGCGGGTTATTAATTAACTGAGTGTAACCACTGGCTGTTGATAAATCCTTTTAACTAATTCAAATTCCATATCGAGCTGGGAGCACTTTCACTCGAGCTGCTGCCCGAGTTAAGCTGGGTGAGGAATTATTCCTGATGTGTTTTCCAGCACCGGGGTTGGGGCAGAGAGGCAGAGAGAAGATCTGTTTGCTTGATTCCACATGACAACTCCAGGGTAACAGAATAGACTGAACGCTCGGGTTGACAGGGCTGAGCACCCGGCAGCAGCCTGGCTCACATACCAGAGCCAGGGGGATGGAAGGGGCACTGGCAGCTGGGATGGAGCCCATCCCAATTTCTCTGAAGAGAGCCAATTTGCCATCAATTATTCATGTTTTTTCCGAGGTCTCGCTTCTGAGAGGTATGAATAACTTAAATATGTGTTCATGTAACAGTTGGAATAATGAATAAATTACCGTGAGGAGGGGAGTTGAGGAGCAGGGCTGAGTGTTAAATAATGGAGGAGGTTTTGGAGGGAGTGTGGTCGTTAACAGCGTGGCTGTTCTGGGCTCCTCTGACTGCAGGAGATGTAGGAATGTTTTACAGCGATGCCTGTGGGAAGTGCAGGGATTTGGAGGTGCCAGGGAAGGAAGAAGCAGTGTCTGTGTGTAGGACAAGAACCTGCAGCACCCCCGGATCTCCTGGGGCTCAGCTGCCTCCTTCCCCTCACCGTGCTCAGGGGAACTTTGTCCCTGGGCTCCAGAATTAAAACCTTGCTTTGGGGGAACCCTGGCACACTGCTGGTCCTACTAAATCACCAGCTGGAGGGACACTGGGGTGGAGTGCCAGGTACCTGGGAGGACCTTCAGGACAGTCAGTGCTTGTCTGGTGGCTGCTGCTGCTTCAGGAGACTTTGAGGTTCAATGACTTTTGCATTTATTTACTGCTCTAGTCCAGTTTTCCCTGCCAGAGTGGCATTTTTCATGACAGGGTCCCTGTATTCTGACCCTGTAGTCCCTCATGCTCTGCCCCATTTCTTCCTTCACTCTGTTTAGAACAGAAATGCACATTATTCCCTTTGTAAAATTTCAAACCAAATTCTTTTTCTGTAACATCACTGTGGTCTTGAAAACAAGTGACAAATCTAAAAGCTCGTTAAGCAACCCTTGAAAATGAGCAGCTTTTAAAAGACAGCATCGTTGTGACAGTGATTAGTGCTTGTTATGAAGCATTTTATTCCATTTTAGTACTGTGTTGTTTAGTTTACCCTGATATTTTAATAGAGACATTTAAACATGGAATTCTCACAAATCTGCCTTACTGATGTTAAAAATGCAAAGTCTTATGAAGTGTTACATAAAGCATCAGTGTGTGCTGAACCAGCAGCCAAATATGATTTCTTACAGATAGTTTCCTCTGATTTTCAATCTTGACAGCACTCAGATTATCAAGTAATTTATTTATATAAAAAATTGATCAAGTTGTCTGTTTGCAGCAGTAGAAGTTGGCAAGTTCCTAAGCACATTCTTACCCCTCTGCAGCAGTGGTTTCTGCACGAGCTGTGCAGCCAAAATTGCCTTGGAGCTTGGTGAGATCTGGTTCAGTTCGGGCAGATTCTGACCCATAAAGCTGCTGATGAAACCAGCTCATCACAGGAGAGAATATTCTCACATCTGGAAGGATCCTGAACTGCCTCCAGGCTGTGAGTGGTGGCACAGCCCTGGAATTCTGGTAGGAGAGATCTCTTGAAAGGCTCTGGAATTCCTGATTGTCCTCCATAGGGACACAGGTGCCTGGTGTCCAAGAGCTGGATGCTGAGAGCAAATCAGCTCCCAGCACTGCAGCGAGGTGTTCCATTAGTAAAAACCAGTTTTAACCTCTAAAATTCATTTTAGGGATTAAAATTAATTAATAGATTTCATAATTTATGATTTCGTCTGGTCCAGTTCAGCATCCATGGGATTTCAAGGGATGTGAAGTGTGGAAACCTGTCCTGACAGAAAAAAAAAGAGAGAGGCTCACAGGAAACAATGGTTGTCTTGTGGGAAGATTTTAAATATATGCAGCTGATCCCATGGGAACTGCTGTAGTCTATTCACCCTGTGTGAAAATGATGCTCTCTCAATATAATCTTTAATCCTTTTCTTTCACTGAAAAATGTGAGAACTTTATTTCCAAGTTTTGAAAGAATGCTCTGTTTTAGGGAGCAAATGCTTTCCAAGCATGAAAATAAAATAAATTTTGATTAGTGCAACACAGAGGGGAAAGGTTCTCTGAAATATCTTGTAATATTCTGTCCATGAATTGCATGTGTGGATGTTCTTGGGAAATGCATCTTTTCTCCCTGGGTCAGTGCAGGGGCGGGGGGAGGAAGCATCCAGCAGTCTTGGCAATATTACAAACTTCTGTAACTCTTTGAAACAGAAATTACACAAAATTTTTTCTTGCAAGATGGGGAAGAAGAATTTCAACAGAAGGGAATTCTACCTAAAATTCAATTTTTTCTTTGGAGATGATTCTGATCTTCCTGCTATTCGTGGAAAAGGAAACTTAAAAGTAAATGTGCAGTTGTTAGAAACATTTATCCCCAGAGCATGGAAATCCAAAGCTGCTCTGTTCACTCCATGCATGTGTGAGTAACACAGAGCTGCTCTCCTGGCCTTGAAGGGCTCAGGTCCTGAGCATTAAACCCTGTTTGGTGCAAACCAATCATTCCTGGAGGGAATTTTACAGTCTGGAAAGACAAAGAGTCACTAACGTTATTTCCCTTCTGTTTTCCTGCAGTGCCTTTCATGCAAGGCATCCAAAGCCCATCCATGAGTTAAGCATGGCAGCGTGGTGGGAGGTAAGGAAAGGAACTTTTGGGTTCCTTTTTCAGGTCACTCAAAGCTCTGGGTTGTGTTGTGCCCAAGGTGACCACGATAAAACAGCTCCCAGTTCTCTAACACCACTCTCTCCATCTCCAGGAAATTCACTTTCCTCTCCCATGGAATTTACTGGACACCTTAAGTGACAGTTTTGTACCAGATGCTCATTCTATACCTTTTAGATTTTTGGAGATTTTGGAAAATGAGCACGGCCTTGTGTTTAGCAAAGAGCTGTGGCACCTGTGGTGGCTCAGCCTTTCATGGGGAATAAGAAATTCCATGTGGGAGTTGTGCTGCAGCATCTGGGGAGATCCGTGGTGTGGTGCCCGTGGCAAACTGGGGTCCCAGAGGGTGGGGACTGGTCATTAATTGGATTTCCTTGGGAACCCTGCCTGGGCTGGGTTGGGAGCATCCCTGTCCTCACTGCAGCTCCAGCAAGGGAGAAACCAGAAAATCCTGTAAAGATTCACTTAACACGAACTCCAGAGGCCTGAGTTCCCAAAAATTCCTTACAGTGAGTGAAGACTTTCCTGCTGATGTTGTGTAGAGCAGAACTAGATATAAAAATCATTGCACAATTGTCTGAAGGTTGTGTTTCTGTTTCCAGTGGGATAACACCCAGGAAATCAAGCAGCTGGATTTACATTGCAAGTCTTTTGGAAGTTAAGGAAATTATTTTCTTGTAGAATTTCCTTCACTGTAAATATAAAAAACTTTCTCTTCTCCCTTCCTCTTTGGTTTAAAAGAGACTTTTTTTTCCTGTCCTTCTAATGTCATTCTGCAGAAGCTGAGCTCCTGATAAACTGTAAGGCTCAGCCTTTCAGCTCAAGTTCAAATGGCTTTTGGATGCCTGTAGGTCCAACTGCCCTTTTACATGGAATTTTTATTGTTAATCTTCTATTATTGGGGGAATTATTTTGCAAACAGACCAATTCAGTAGCTTCAAGCCCTGAAACCTGTCAGGCTGGCTTTTATTCTGATTGCTTGTGATAAGGAGCTTTGGTAAGAATGCTGTGCCTGCAGCAAGTGGAGAGATTCACCTTGGAGGGAGCAGCTTCAAGGTCCCAGGGAAAGGGTGGCTCTTTCAGCTTGGCATGAAAAGGGAAAAGGAGGTGTTGAAAATCAGATCAAACCTGGGAACTGATGTGGGACTGCACCAGAACCAGTGCAAGTGGCTTGTGTTATATTCTGAGGGGTTTTTCCTGCATAATGATGTCTTGGAAGTTTGTTCCAAGCTCTGGAGTTGCTGCTTTGTTCCCCACGTTCTGGCCTTGGAAAGGTGCAAATTCCTGCTGTGAATTCCCTCGGATGCAGCACCAGGGGGATCCAGGCAGGATGGACAGACTTTGGCCAAACCCTTTGCCTTTTCCATTCCTTCTGTGCACGGAACACAAATACAGCAAGGAGAAAATTCTGATGGGTGGTGTGGAGTCAAGCTGATGTAGATTCAGGGTGATGAGACACCTCAGGAATTACACTCTGAAGCAATTTCATTGCCCAGCTTGACCCTTTAAAAAAAGACCATTTAAAAATGACATTTTATAAGACACATGATTTGTTTTCCCTCTTGCCCAGTGCCTGCTGCCTATTAATAGCAAATCTTGTAGTGGGCAAGGAAATGCTTAAGGAACAATTGTCTTTAATGCTGATGCAAGGAAAGTATTTCCAGCACTGTTACACAGAGTAAGCATTAAGAGGATTTGCTATAATTCCATTTCCAAGAGCTCACAATAAAGAAATGTTTTTCTGCATTATCTTGAGTATTGTCTATAAAACTCAGATAAAATTCTCTGTTCAGGAAGAGCTCAGCACCTCTCTGAGAAATTCTTGTGTTACCCAGGGGAGGATCATTTGCACAAGGCCAATGATGTTGCCAAGGATCAGGGAATATCCTGAGCTGGAAGGGCCTCAGGAGGAGGAGGAGGATGGAGGCCAGCTCGTGCAGGAGGGGCTGCTGTGTTTCAGAGCAGCTGATCACAGGGAGGGCTCCATGGACCCTCCTTCCTGGAGCACTTTTCTGCACCGTGTGGGCACATTTTGTTGTGCTGCTCCTGAGGCTCGTGTTAAAAGCCAGAGCAAACCTCAGACCCTCTTTTGTGCTCGTGTAAAGGCTGCAGAACCACAACATTTATTCCTTTGGCCGGGAAATCTCCTCTCCAGCAAGGCTGTTCACTTGTTCTCTTTCTTTCAAGCAGTGGGAGCTTACTGCGGGCTGTTTGCCCTCCTTGCCAGGGAAGGATAGCTTTTCCACTAACACAGAGACTTCTGTTTCCTCTATTAAAAACAACTGCCCTCAAGTGGAGCAGGCTTTGTATTTTGCCCTGGAAACAGAGCAGCTCATTCAGAGATAAGGCTTCCCTGCCTTTGGTTCCTTCAGTCACCTGACAGAGCCATGGGTAACTTTTAGGCTGATTTATTCTGCATTCCTGGGATGCCTTCCCCGTTAATTCACCGCAATTAACAGCTCTGGGATCCCTGCCTGCCACCCTGCCCTGGATGCTGCCCGGGGGGAGAGCAGGAAAAGGGCTCTGGTGTCCCCAGAACACCTGGCCCCATCCCTGAGGATGGCCTGGGGACATCCCGAGCAGGTAAAAAAAAAAATCTGTTTGTGTCTGCAACTTTCTGAACTTTTATTTTTTGGATTTGGGAATGGCTGAGTGTGAGCAGGGTGAGAGTATCTGAGCTCCCACCCATCCCTGTGGCTCAGGTTTGTGATTTGTGCCTCGGGATTTGCCATCTCAGCTCCTTTCTGCTTCTGCTTGATGAGATTGGGAGTGCTGTGGAATGGTATTGATGGAGGTGGGGAAATTAAAACAGCCCTGCCTTGTGGCATCAGCAAGTGCACTGTGCTGCCTATTAAAATAGAGATTTTTTTATTTCAAGCTGGGAGTTGCTTCCAGAAGGTTCTCAGTGTTTTGTCCCTTCTGTGGATGCCCCAACCCTGGCAGTGCCCAAGGTTAGGTTGGGTAAGACCTTGGGCAACCTGGGCTAGTGGGAGGTGGCCCTGCCCACAGCAGGGGGGTTGGACTGGATGGGCTTTAAGGTCCCTCCCAACTCTTTAAAGTTCTGTAATTCTGTGATTATATTTTACTTTTTTTTTTTTTCTCTGAAAAAAGAGAATAAAATAGAGATTAAGGGTACTCCATATCTCAAATTATAATTATAAGTGATATATCTTGTGTCTTTGCCAACTCAAGAGAGGAATCCAGAGGAGCTGACACCCAAAGTGAATCCATGTGGGACCTAAGCAGAGTTTTAGGACTCAAGTACAGGGCACTTCCCAAAATGTGAGCCTGGCTCAGCCTCTGCTCCATTCCTCAGCCAAGGAGAAGAGCTGACTTTCACCTCAGCCAAGGCTTTGTTTTACAGGAGTTTAAAAGACCCTGGAGATCATTTTGGCAACCAAAGTGGCAATATTTTTGGAAACAAAACTCATTATCTTCCCAATCTTGCTAATGATGTTTTTCTGGAGTCAAGACACAACAACCCAGAAAACAAAGGATGAGGCTTCACCTTCCTCCTCAAGCTCTGCTCCTGACCAGGGCAAGGAAAAGGAAAGGGGTTTAGAATCCTCAGCAGCTGGTCTAGACACCAGACTGCTCAGGTAACATGCACAGAAAGGAAGAAAACCTTGGGTTGAGTAATTACTGAAAATTAGTATTTTTTAATCTAATTTTAAGCTACTTAGTGTTTGAAGGTAAAAAATTCACACAGTTCATGAATGTGCTTAGAGATGTCCCTGGCTCAGGGGGTCTGATATTTTCACACATTTTAAAACCAATGCATTTGCTGATATTCCCTCTTTTCTTTTTATTTTCGTTTAGATTGGAGCCAAGGAAGCCTTGAAATACAGCCCAGGTTTATCCTTCATATGAAGCTGATCACTCCTGGCCAGCATTGTCCCCGTTGTGTCCCCAGCTGAGCTCTCTGTGCCCATGGTGCCTGCAGGGGGTGGCTGAGCAGGGCCATGCATCATCTCTTCGGGCTGGTTTTGGCACAGAAGGACCTGTCCCGGGCAGGGGACCTCTTCTCCCTGGAGGATGCTGAGATCGAGGGAAGCCTCTCTGAAGCTCTTGAACAGATCAGAATCATTAGTTCAGCTGCAGTGAGTGAAACATTGTCCTTAATAATGTTTTTTTTTTTAAATGAGGGGGCGATACAAACAATTTGGATTTCTGAAGAGACTTGAAGGGCAAAGCGTAATATTTTAAAATGTGCTTAAAAATGACAAATTCAAAATTTAAAAATGGCAAAATCCAGTTCTCACCAGCTTGTTTTCCCTCAAAGATATTTCCAATTCATCTTTATAATAATTTTTATTAAGTAGTTATTTAAAGCATATTAAAGATGATATGAGATTAGAGGGGTCCATAACTTCCCAGTAATGAGATTTAAGATCTGTGAGATGACAAATTCCAGAGTTTTATCACAGTGTTGTAAAGATGGATGTGGGAAATGGACTCTGGACTTCAATTAAACTTACAAAACCTGAATTTTGTGAGGTCCTGGCAAACCAACTCGTTGTGTTTTGCTGTGCCCCAAGGACTACCAGACCAATGACAACGACCAGGCAGTGGTGGAGATCTGCATCACCCGCATCACCACGGCCATCAGGGAGACTGCATCCATCGAGAAGCACGGCAAGGCCCTGGTGGCTCTCTGGGAGTCCTGTCTGGAGCACAACCTGAAACCCTCTGGCAAAGATGAGGATGCTCCACATGCCAAAATCGCCTCTGACATCATGAGCTGCATCCTGCAGGTAGAGCTGGGCTGAAAGCAGGAGCGCTGGGCTCTGGTTGCCAATTCACTTTTTGGGTTTTTTTAAATGCTTTTGTAACTCTCTTTTTTGGGTGCTTGTGAGTGGTTATGCTTAAAACGAAGAGTTTGGGGAATTGCGCTGTTGTGGATTATCCTCTCTTGAAATTGTTGAGGTAACTCAGAATCGTGGAATGGTTTGGGATGGAAGGACCTTAAAGCCCTGTCTTGGTTTGAAAGACGGGTGTGTGCCAAGAAAGGCAGGAGAATGTAAACCCCCTCCCTCCAAATTATTATAGTTTTGAAATTAAGGAGCTCTCAGGCAAACACAGAGGAATAGAAATAACAGTTCTTTACTGGGAAAATTCCAATAGCAATGCAGTATTGCAGAGAACAAACCCAGAGCAGGGGCAGAGGGAGAATCCAAGGTGCCCCCGTCAGTCAGTCAGGGTTGGTGCAGTCCCATTCCATGGTGGCTGCATCCTCCTGCAGTGACAGATGTGGTTCTGCTGGAGCAGGGCTCCTGCACAAGGTGCAGTTTTCCTCCAA